TCATTCACATCATTCCTTCACATATAGCTTCACATAAAACTCATTCACATCATTCCTTCACATATAGCTTCACATAAAACTCATTCACATCATTCCTTCACATATAGCTTCACATAAAACTCATTCACATCATTCCTTCACATATAGCTTCACATAAAACTCATTCACATCATTCCTTCACATATAGCTTCACATAAAACTCATTCACATCATTCCTTCACATATAGCTTCACATAAAACTCATTCACATCATTCCTTCACATATAGCTTCACATAAAACTCATTCACATCATTCCTTCACATATAGCTTCACATAAAACTCATTCACATCATTCCTTCACATATAGCTTCACATAAAACTCATTCACATCATTCCTTCACATATAGCTTCACATAAAACTCATTCACATCATTCCTTCACATATAGCTTCACATAAAACTCATTCACATCATACCTTCACATATAGCTTCACATAAAACTCATTCACATCATACCTTCACATATAGCTTCACATAAAACTCATTCACATCATACCTTCACATATAGCTTCACATAAAACTCATTCACATCATACCTTCACATATAGCTTCACATAAAACTCATTCACATCATACCTTCACATATAGCTTCACATAAAACTCATTCACATCATACCTTCACATATAGCTTCACATAAAACTCATTCACATCATACCTTCACATATAGCTTCACATAAAACTCATTCACATCATACCTTCACATATAGCTTCACATAAAACTCATTCACATCATACCTTCACATATAGCTTCACATAAAACTCATTCACATCATACCTTCACATATAGCTTCACATAAAACTCATTCACATCATACCTTCACATATAGCTTCACATAAAACTCATTCACATCATACCTTCACATATAGCTTCACATAAAACTCATTCACATCATACCTTCACATATAGCTTCACATAAAACTCATTCACATCATACCTTCACATATAGCTTCACATAAAACTCATTCACATCATACCTTCACATATAGCTTCACATAAAACTCATTCACATCATACCTTCACATATAGCTTCACATAAAACTCATTCACATCATACCTTCACATATAGCTTCACATAAAACTCATTCACATCATACCTTCACATATAGCTTCATATAGGACTTTACATATAGCCTCATTCATATATAATAATATAACAATACAATAACACTCATATAATGCCCTTCATGGCCTCAATCATAATACATTCCATAAGTAGACACCTCCACCATAAGTGGATCACACATCAATCTATCAAAATTCTATATCAATTCTACATTAACAATGAAGTTAGGCCAACTTACCCTTTTCCAAAGCCACAATCATCATTCCTCAACTCTCCAATAATTCACAATAGATAAGCATAGCTAATAATAAAAATCAACTATTCAACTCCATTTAAGCATAATTCTATCATCATTCAATCACAAACAATAATCCCACTTCATATGCCAACTTTTGGAAATTTGCAAAGACATGGGTTCATGGAATTTCCTTTCTTAAAACCATCAATAATAACATAAATTATCATTAAAAACATTTAATGCAAGAACCCATGCTAGAATCAAAATTAGGATTTTGAGTTTTTGAACAACTTTTGAAATCTTTTGGATTGACTCTTTGATTGAAGAAGGAATCAAAGATGAAGAGTCCCCATACCTTATTCTTCAAGAACCAAACGAAATTAGAGAAGAAATCAGCAGCCACCATCCACCCTAGCTCCATCTTTCACCTTGAGCTTCCATGGGGTTTTGAGAGAGTTTTTGAGAGAGGGAGGGTTTCTTTTTACTTCCTAATTGGAGTGATTTAATATGGAAGAATTTTGGTCAAAAGGGTTTTATAATTTCTAGGAAATAATATATGTCATTTGGAAGAATGGTCCAACACTTAAAAAAAAAAAGAGGCGGGTGAACAGTAATCTGGCTACTGGAATTTGCATTTTCTGCCGGACAGATTTTACGAAAATGGGCATAACTTCTTCGTCCGAACTCCGAATGAGGTGAAACGAAGTGCGTTAGGTAGCTAACTCAAAGGGCTTTCCATGGATATATTATTGGCCACCCAAATAATTTGTGTGCTAGGAGATATGACCCTCCAAAGTAGACCCTCGAAAAAGGCTTCACTTGGAAATTTCGGATTTTGATACGGTTGCTCTAAAATTTGGGTTAGACCCATTTCCCACTCAATTTGACCCCCTAAACAAGAATATGAAGTCGGATTTTCGAAAAACGAAACGGATCTTTTTATATACAGCTAAACAAGTTTCCGGTAACTTCCGAAGCACATTTTTAAGAACTTTTTGGGTCAAATTCAAATATAATCATTTCATTAAGTTCTCGACTCCAAACTCACATGTGAGGCTCTAGTTTCACTCTATCATTTTCCGGGTCGTTACAGCTTCACATGAGAATTTATAAAATAATACTTAAAATCTATCAGTCATTAAAACTAAAACACTATATTATCTTACATACAAGATTACGTAGCAACAAATATTAATAATGTAAAGGAAAATGAAAATTATTACATCTTATCATTTATCCTTAATAACATAAGCATAAATTAATGAGTGTAAAAATACATATCAGGATCTGTAACATAAGCAATGATGTGAGTGAGCCACTCAACATGAGCAAAATACATAAATATTTAATTGTGAAGAAGAAGAGGTTCACAATTTTCGTTATTTTAAAATGAGAGGAATTCCCTCTATTTATAAACAACAAATGATAGTGTGAACAAATGTTTATTGTGCTTTATCGAAAAGGCTACAATTATTTGGAAAAGTTGCAACCCTTTGGAAAGGTCATAACCTTTTATAAAAGTCACAACTTTTCATAAAAATCGCAACTCTTCATTAAAGTCGCAACTTTTCATAAAAGTCACAACTTTTCATAAAAATCGCAACTCTTCATTAAATGTCACAACTTTTCATGAAAGGGGAAGACTATTTTTGGAAATAAATAAATAAAAAGGGAATTTTGATATGTGGTGACGCCACGTAGGCAGACTTAAGGTTCTCTTTTATATATATATATATATGATATGATTTTATATATCTCGATAAACACTATAAATAAAAGCATAAAAAACTCACATCGAAAAAAGTCTAAAAAAAATCTCAATACTCTCATCTCTTATATATCTTTAGAAAATACTTTGCTTCGTCTATAATTCTTGATGGACCGAGTGGCTTGATCTCGACCCGATCCGACCCGACCCGACCCAATTAGCCTTTAAAACTTCAAATCAACGCAAATTGTCTTCTACTAAAGTTGCTTCAAAACCCTAAACCCTAGACGCTTGTTTTCTCTCCTCTGTTGTACCATCACAACAATGGCTAAAACTTTGAACGAAGAAACTGTCAAGAAGGTCATTCGTCAGGTTAGTATTTCTGGGTTTTATATGGTTTGCTTTCAATCTCACTGTATCTTCTATTGTCATCTGATTATCTTTTTCCAACCAATTTTCCATGAAGGTTGAGTTTTACTTCAGTGATAGTAATCTCCCAAAAGATGGGTTTCTCAGGAAAACTGTGGAAGAAAGCGAAGATGGGTGTATCCTTTTTTAACCTTATGTACTCTCTATCTGATTGTTTACTCAATTATTTTTGGGTCCATGTTGATTTTGTTTGCCATTTGTACTAAAGATAGAATTTTAAACCAAAACAAATGATGAAAAAGACTTAATAGAGTTATTGAGGTCTTGGAAGAATGTTGTTGATATTGTGAATAAGTTGTTTGTTGAGAGGAAGTATATGCACAGGAATTGTATGTTTATAAACTCAACCAACTATGGAATTGTATGGTTGTCACTAGAATGTACTTGGGACTTAATCAAAGGACTTATAGTGGTAAGTTTAGCTTCAACTTATTTGACATTTCTGCTAAAGATGAAGTCTTTAACCTTAAAAATTATTCCCTTCGTTTCGATTTTTTTGGCTTGATTAGGAGTTTTGAGGGTCAAACTAACAAATGTTGGTACATAAAAAGTATTATAAGTCACAATGATTAACAATTAAAATATTTAGAAGTATTTGAAAAAGTTCCATTAAAGAAAATATCCCTTCACTGTCCATGTCCAGATAGTAACTAAGACAAACAAATTGAAACTAAGAGAGTTTTAAAAAGTATAGGTAGAATCATTGAGGTATTGGAAGAATGTTGTTGATAATGTGATCAGTAAGTTGTGCAAGTCTTTTGAAATCCAGTAAGTATATGCACAACATCAAAAGGATTTGTACGTTTTTTGAACTCACCTAAAATATGGTATTGTATGTATTTCTGAATAACTCTGTTGGTGCCAAACCAGATATTGGAGGAGAGCTCTAGTAAGTAGACTAGCAAAATAAAACCAGCCAATTTTCAAAGAATCGTCATCATACTGGGTACTGGAGTGAAACGGATCCAAATGGATACTAGGGATTGTTTTGTTATATGTTTGTGTGGATAAAATGTATTGTTGCACTTAACTACATCTTTATAGTGGTAAGTTTAGCTTTGATATGTTCATTTTCACGGATGAGGTCTCACTTGGATTTGGGGGTGGCAAAGCCAGAAGATATATCAGATGATACCGTACAAGCTGTTGCTGAAGCTTTAAAAGCTTCTTCTTTTCTTAAAATTTCGGAAGATGGTAGGTTCCTTGTTTGATTTTGCTAATTAATGTGTTGTTCTCTCTGATCACTTAGTAAATTGGCTGATTGTACTTGGTTTTTATTTTAGGGAAGAAAGTTGGTAGAGTCAGTGAGCTTGCAAAGCCTGAGGAGGTTATTGAGCAAATTGATGTAAGGACGATTGCTGCATCCCCTTTGGAATACAGTGTCAAGCTGGAAGACGTGGAGTCTTTCTTTGGTCAGCATGGCAAGGTAATAACTGTAACTTTGCTCTTGCCTTACTTTGCAAGTGTTATTCTTGCCTTACTTGTGATGAAATTTGGTATCTTTATTCTATTTGTAAGACTGATAACTATTGGTTAAAAGGGAGAAAAGAGAGATTGTGTGGGGTTATTCCTTGTAAAGAAACATTTTCTCCACTCTCTGCCTGATGAGCAGCTATGGGAATTGTTTTGGTGTTCCAGTACATTTTATATAGTATTGTTTGAGATATATCCTTAATTCTGCCTGACCGTTGTGAAGTTTGCATTACTTGCATTGATATTCCAAAATGGTACTGCATGAAAAAAAGATTAGCCAACATGGTAAAATGTGTGCTGCCAATCAATGATTTTTGTTTGCTGCTTCTTTAGGTTAACAGTGTGAGACTGCCTCGTCATGTAGCTGATAAAAGGGTGTTTTGTGGCACTGCTCTTGTTGAGTTCTCCAATGAGGAAGATGCGGTTAACATTGTGAAGCAAAACTTGGTTTATGGAGGAGTTGAATTAGAACTGAAACCAAAGTAAGTTTTTTTGATGAGTAAGTTAATTTTACTAATGAAGATAAAACACCAAGAACAACACTTATCTCTACTATCCTAGAAAAGCTGGGCTGTGATCCTATTATATCTGTAATGATTCCATGAAATCCAGTATTGCGCCAAAATTTGAAGGCAGTACATCTTTTCTCAAGTTATATACTACGCTCTTTTACTTTGAAATATCTGTGGTTCCTTTCCAACCAATTAGTTTATATAATGCAACGAGGGATAGTCTTCCAAATTTTCTTCTATGTCTTCCTCATCCTCTGGTTTTGCAAGCGACACAAAGCTTGTTATACATTGGCTGAAACCATAGTAATTTAAGAGTACAGTGGTGTTTTTCTGTGGTGTTACTTCCTTCAATTCTATGACAATAGGGGACATTTTGGTTTGTACGTTATTTTAGAGTTGACAACTTCTAGTGGCATATCATCTGTATGAACAACTAACATTACAAACACTTCTCATACATTGGTGGATTTCTGCCTTCAATGATTTGTCTATCTTTGAAACGAAAACATAATTTTGGCTATGAGGAGTAGGGGAGAGGAGCTGATGCTGCTTTTCTTAGAGACTCACTATGTGGGGGCTTTTTTGCTCTTGTATAATCTATAGTTTTGCTTGGTTGGCTAGGCTTCCTTTTGCAATGTTGAACCATATGTACTAAAGGACTGCTGCACCAATTTTACATGCTCCACCTGTTGCATTTTGTTTCACCCTTTTCCATTTCTCAAAATATTACTGGTTTCGGTAGTAGGAAAGGTCCAAGCAACAGCAATAACATACCCCGTATATTCTCACATGTGAGGTCTGGGGAGGGTGGGGTGTACACAAAACCTACCCTACCTTTGTGGGGTAGAGGTTGTTTCTGATAGAGCCTTGGCTCAAGTAAGTTGTTTCTCAGAACATGTTTGAAAGAAATGCAAGAGTCAAAAGCTATAAGGAAAATATTGAAGAAAGAAAAGTACCGACATTAATAATATAGACATTACCACGTAAAAGGAACAACAATCATAATTGAATTGAAGAATAAGATAATACTAGCATAATAATAATAACAAGAGTAAGGGAACAGAGTAGGTGGAAAGGTCCAATCAAATAAAATTGAATACATTAATACATAGTACTACACATTTTTTGTACTTTGTTTACATCTTCCAACCGTTATTTTCAATACATGTATTTGTTTCTCAAACTCATAATGTCTTGTTTTAACAAATCCAACACTCGTTCAATGGAATTTGCCGTGGGGGGATGGGATATTATTTATTTTGGCCTCCTGTGTGCATTGATGGGGAGTCATTGACGTCACTAGGGCTTAGTAATCTATGGTGTATAATCTATTAATGTTTGTTCTGGGGAACTATGGATCTTATATTCTAGTTTCTTTTGATCAAGAAATCAATCTGCAGTCTACCCTTATGATCAACTGCAGCCTCTGAAAATCGGGATAATGAGTCCGCTCTTCATCCTTCCCCACCTAAATGCCAGACTTTGTTCACTTGGCACACCGCTCAAACTTGTGAATTAAGTCATAAGTCCCTCAATCTTTGCAATTTGAGCTAAACCCTAGAGGCGGGATCTTATTTTCTATTTGTCTGGGCATTGCTGTCCTAGGGGGTTCATAAGTTATAAAATGTGCTCTTTCGATTTAACATGTCCAAACTTTGGCTATGTAGCCTGGTAGCTCACTTTTAAGTAAGTAAATAAGATCTGTTTTTATTTAACAATCGTAGATCATGACCATGACTTGATTCCAGTGGGATGATGTCTCATTTTGATGGCCACTGCTTTGAACTATAAGTTTTCATTGTTTTAAGCTGTAGTTGTTGCAATGAATTCCTTTTAATGATTCCTCATAGATACTGCTGATCTGTGGTTATTCAGGAAAGATTTTGATGTTGAAAGAGCCATTGAAGAGAAAGAAGTTGAGCAAAACCATCCTCGTAGTGGTCCAAATAGTAAAAATAATTCTAATTCGGAGCTAGAGTGAGTATAATACTTCTGTTAAGTAGTCCTTAATAATTTGGAATTCTATTAGCATGCTAGGCATGTGGTTAACTCAATAAATGTGATGGTGGCAGCTATCCAAAGGGCTTGATCATTGCATTTAAGTTGAAGAGAATCTCTGCTAAAAGCTCTACAGAACAGAATGGTAATCATGAACTGTCTACTGAAAGTGCAAGTGCTCCTGAAACAGGAGGCAACAAAGATACAACAAAAGACAATGTTGAAATGACAGATGAGAAGGTACCAGAAGGTATTAAAGATGGAGACAATGATGAAAATGTTGAGAAGGGTGATAAAAAAGATGCAGAGGATGGAAATGGGGAGACTGATGTTCAGAATCCTGAAGTTGCCGAGAAATCCATGGACAGTCCAACTGAAGATGATGAGCAAGCTCCAGCTGAAGAAAAATTATCCATTGCTGCTTGCAAGGATAACAAAGATATTGTTATGCGTGAAGACTTGAAGAGCGTATTCCAAAAATTTGGTACTGTGAAGGTAATATTTCTCCTTAATTATTCATTTGATACTTCTTCATTCTAATTATATATGCATTATTTTGTTCTATATATGTTTTTCCTTTGATAAATCATTTTGCTTTATATATATGTTGTTCTTAGGGTAATTTCTTCATATTATTTATTGCTGTTTCTTTTTTATCCTTCTGTTGGATTAGCAAAATGAATGTTGTTGTTTTCTTCCTGCTTGGATAAACTCTCTTTGTGCCTATTAAATCAGTTGCAATTGTGGAACAGAAGTATTAGCAATCCAAATCTATTAATTTACTTGGGCAGTTTGCTGGGATTTCATACTAAATTAATGAAATTGTTATAAAATTTATTTTAGTTGCATATTTGTGTATTAAGGACACAAATACCTTTCTCAAAGAAGTTAGAGAATACTTGTGTATTAGAGACATGACACCATATTTTTCTGTTTTCTGTCCACATTTCCATAATGGTTGTTTTTCCTGGAAGTTGTTTAAGATCAGGATATCTAGGACAAATAAAACTGTAAATGCATCAGGAAAGCATAGTGTGACATTTGTAGTTTCATGGGTTTTCTTGTGCAGTTCATCGATTTCGCGATTGGAGCAGAATCAGGATATATAAGGTTTGAAAGTGAAGGGGCTGCACAGAAAGCACGTGCTGCTGGTGTACTTGCTGAGGAAGGTGGTTTGGCGGTGAAAAATTTCATTGCTGCCTTGGACCCTGTTACTGGTGGGTGCTTTTATTCTATATCTAGAATTGCATTAATAGTATCAATCGGCCAATGTTTATTTGTGCAAATAAACCTTTGTTTTTAACTCCGCACTTCAATTAGCACAGTTTACTTTCTTTAATTTATTTCATTTTCATTATTTATATCTTATCCTTTTGTGTGTGAATCGCCTCTATAACAAGATAGTTACTTGTGTGTTACTTTTTAATCAGGTGATGCTGAGAGGGAATACTGGACTATGTTCCGTAATAGCCAGCAGGAAAAACGCCGTGACTTTAAAGGGAATAGGGGAAGGTAAGCCTTAGCTGTCATAAGGTTATTCTGCTGCATTCTTTCTCAAAAAAAAAAACATGTTAGGTTATATGATCCCACTAAATGTTGTAGTTTCTGGGTTCGTTCAAAGCATATTAGGTTGTTAGGTCCAGTGTGTTGGTGCTTAATAAAATAAACTCTTTGTATCGTCAAGCTCAAGTACCCACAAAACGAAAATGAAAAGATGAAAGTGCATGCATCAATGAATGTTGAGATATTCTATTATGATGAGAGATTACCCACTTGAATGAGTGATGTAAAGCCACAACTGAGAACTTGTTATGCCTTGCTTGATACTATTGTTGTTGTTCATGAACATAGGGGAGGAAGGTTCAACAGAGGTGGGAAGCATTCGCGTGGAAGGGGAAACGATTTTGGTGGACGCCCAAACAAATTCCAGAAAACTAGGTCATGAGGAATTCTATCTTTTGTACCATTTACGATGAATTCTCTCAACTTATCTTGTTCCACATTACTACGATGATATACTTCCATCATCGTAATGTGTTGCAATTTTGTGCCTTAATTTATGTCACAATATCATAAAATAGTTATGTTTTACATTTTCAACGTTCCTTAGTCAAAAGTGATATATTTACTTTTAACATTGTTAAATGTGTCTCCATGCTTTTTTGGGTTGGGTTCTATATTAGGGCATTTAGAGGAATGGGTTCACTATATTCACTTGAATAGAAGAAAATCAATCTGCAAAGATATTTTTTTTATACTTGCATCACTAGATTAATATTTAAGAGTTCTGTGTTTAAATAAATTTTGACCAAAAGATATGTAGTCTCTTAACCACATTCATATGAGAAGTACTACCATTTATAATATTTTTTGGATAGTTTAAGAATATTTAAACCTAAATATTAGAATATTAAATTAGTCCAATTTAATTTAACTTCCATAAATAGTTAAATTAACTCTTGAAAATTGAAATGTGAAGGTAAAACTTGTGTTTGGTTTTGATTGAAAAGTGACAAATTAAATTGCTTTGTAGAATCTACTGACTTCATTTTAATTAGAGATTTTGTAACCTTTTTTTTCACTTTTTTAAAATATAGGTTTAGTGATATTAAATACCCATATAATATGACTTTAGTTTTGGAAATATTTTTTGTATTTTAAAATTAAAGAACTAAAATAAATTTACTCATAGTCATCGTTATGAAATTTAAAAAAGAAAACAAAATATTTCCATTGAAATTTTTTATTCATGCCATATTCCAAAAGGGGAGAATAAATGAGAACAGTTCGGAGAATCTGTTGGGCAGTACTTTTCTTTTCAGTTGTTGCATGTGGGGCAGTACTTAAATTAGACAAGTACAGCCTAGGATCAAAATATAGATTAGTTCGATATTTTACCATTAAAATTTAGCTATTTAAAAATTATATGATGAATATTAATATAAATTATAATTTTTCATATATCAATATGATTTAAAAATGTACACCTCTCTATTCTGAAGATAATATTTTTCTCATTCTTGAAAGTCTTCTTTCATAGATAATCAATTGTATTCCTCTCGCTAGCTATTCTGAGTAAGAGGGGGAGGACTTGATGTGACTACTATTAGACCTCCAACCCCAAAATGTCGATCAATATTCATATCGTTTGATTCTTAAAAAAAATTATGACAAGTATTTGAAAATAGTAATCAAATTTAGAGTTTCAAATCATTAATAATAAGATTAATTTAATAATATACATCTCTAATTAAATTTGTTTAAAAAGAAACAATCCTTTTATACTCCCTCCACTCCTATTTATTTGTTATCAACTTATCATTTTAGGTTTCACGCCTCTTAAGAAACTAAGTAAGTTTACCGTTGTATCCTTATTTAGTGTATTCTTGAGTTTAAATTTTTCAATAAATGAACATTAATTAATTTACTTTGATTAATTAATATGACTAATGAACATATTTTTTATGCATTGATTTTATGAAATGATAAATATTAAGAGGCATCTATTTTTAATAAGAACGATATATATAAATATGAAAAGAGTAGTAGTAACTAGTAAACAACATTTGCTTTTTGTACATTTTTGTCAAAACAAAACTGTCATATTACGCAAGTATATGTGTGTTTATGCAATTTTGGGAAAGCTAAAGCAACTATATTAGAAAAGAATATTCTAGAATGTACAAAAGTGTCATTTCACAAGAATCAGATATGTAAGCAACCCTAGCTCCTCCATCCGTTTATATTTCTCATATAAATTATCCTCTCTGCCTCCTTCACTTCATCATCACTTTATATTATTCATATTCTTTTTTATGGCTTTCTTATTTTTTTGGTTTGAGTTTAACAATGTCATAAAACTTGATGTTGATTTGATGTATTAGATTCATTTTCGACCACGGTTTCTCTGTATAAGAATTTGGGCTTATGTAATATGTAAAACATGTTATAGATGCCCTTTGCAAAGAGGATGGTTTCTTGCCTCCTCTTCGTTGTTTGCTCGAATGATGGAGGGATTTGACATTAAAAAATAGTGTGTGGAATCCTCTACATCATATGTATTGATCCTAGACGAATAAACTTTGTCAAAAATAGCATGGTGAAATAAATAATAAACCTTGTTTGTTGTATGCTCAGCAACCCTCCTCCAAGAAGAAATACATGACCAAGGAGATCCGACTGTTGTGTGCTCAGTAACCCTCCTTCAAGAAGAAATACATGACCAAGGAGATTCGACATGGTTGAATTGGATCTACAACAAATTTTGTCTAGTGAAATCAATTCCTTTAGATTTACTAGGCTTAAATTATGTAATATCTCAAAAAAAAAATTAAAAAATGGAGAAATATTTGCGTTGTTTTTTAAGGACGATTACAACTTGTTTGGATGGTTGTTATATGTTGTATAGTGTGCTGTATTATCAATTTAAATATAATACTTTGTTTTGATTGTTACTTAAACTTTGTTGTTTCGTATAGTTTAAATTCATTGTTAGGTAACAACGAAAAGACTCATTTTATGTAACATTAATTTTGATATTTGACATTATATAACGACAAGAAAAATACAATAACAATTCGTAACAACCATCCAAACAAAGTGTTAAAAGAGTGATTTATGGAAAGCCATATTGTTTTTTTGGTTAATTTGCTAAAGTTATATATGTAGTGTTAGTCTTGCATTATTACTGAAAATTGTTTGTTTTAATTTCTCCTTATATCTATTAGTACTAAATTTCTTCCTTTAATGATATTTCTTATAATAATTCTGCAACAAATCCTCTCCAGATAACGTTTGATCTGTGAAAGAAACTTGTATGAATCAAATTTAGCAAAGTAATTGTCTTTTTTATGTTATCTTATAGTACTCCTAATATTTATCCATAGTACCATCAACAAACATCTTGGATAAGTTTTTATTGCTATCGGTTTTAATTTGGTTTAGTTATAAATTATTAAATTTTGACTCTCTTTCCCCAATCTTTTATACTGATTATAAATTTAACAAAGCGCCATATTTACTGACTTTCAAATTAATAACAAATCTACGTGGTTATATAAGTAATATTTTTGTAAGTACGAACTACAATCAAGCTTTAAATAATTATATAGTTGTGCAAGTTAAGGTGGAACAATTGTATTTATGGTTGTATTAAACTAATATGAACAAAAAAAAAACATTATAATTATTTTTATTGGCAATCTCGTGTCTTATTTTTTAATTATAAAATACTAAAGTTTGAGACAAGTTTTAGAATTTAAAATTGGACAACAATTATATTTTGGGTCAAAAAGAAATCTGAAATAGATTTTGAGAATCTCTCAAAATTTTATGATCAAACAAATATTTGAAAAAATATATATTTTTTTTAAAAAATACTTCCAAAATCTATTATCAAGCTAAATTTAGGGAAAGAAGTGGGTACAAATTAAAGGAAGGTATTTTGACTTTGTTGGGAACTCTCTTTTATAGAACAATAGTTTGTTTTAATTCAATTTACCTTTTGAGTTTCAGATAGTTTTATTAGTTCTATTCCTCTCCAAATTATTTCTAATTCCATTTGTTTTAACTCCAAATAACTTCGTTTTGTTTTTAACAAGAAGTCATTGAAAATGAAACAAATGCATTTTAATATCTCGATGACTAAAGTTGTTAAAAATGTGATCGTTAACTTTGCCGATTTAACGTTATTGGAAATATTCAATTCTTCACCAATTTATTCATCAACAATTTACTGATGATATTTTATTCGTTGAAATTTTATCTTGATAAATAAGATGCAAAATATAAAATTTTAAAATTCAAGCAATTCACTTATTTAGAAATATATATAACAAAAAGATAATGTATCATTCTGTTTATTAGCATTCCAATTTAAACCGTTATAAACCACTCTATTCAAAATTGGCCCAAAAAAGCATCAATCAATAATTTAAAATTTTTTATAGTCAATTAGTTGGACAAAATTACACATTTCTCAGTATGATATTTTGAAAAAAAAAAAAAATGCCAAAGAACCACTTTAAATTTTTAGCACAATTTAACGTATTAGTGATGATTATCTTTTAATTTATTATGCTAATAAAACTGCAAATCATTGAATGGTTAGCTCTCAGTCATCATTCTTAAGTACTTAAGCCATACTACTGAAAAAACAATTTTGTGATTTCTCAGTGGGAGAAAATAAATCTCTATCCTTCATGGATTAGAGTTAGGAAAAAAAGGTTAGTGGGAGGTAATCTCTTTATTTTTGAGTAAAATTTTTAAGTGTAAAATCAACAGACATATAAAATTTAGTGTTGTTACGATTACATGTTTTGATTTGCATCGATATCTATATTTTTATGATGTGAATTTGATATGACATAAGAAAAATTGTCCTTTATCAATAATCATTAGTATAATATTTTTAATAATAAAATAAAGTTCAAAATAGAGAGCAATTAGAAGAAATGACCTTAAATCTTTGTGTAGTAACCCTTGATTAAATCGTTTGAGATTCATAGGTGAAAGAAATCGTTTGATCTATTGAAGAAACTTATGATATGCTATCTTTTCAATAGAAAAAAAGATGTTTGTGTGTGAATCGACTGAGAAATGACAAGCTTAACACAATTTTCTTTATCTTTTTTCTATACATTTGAATGTTTTAGTTGAGTTGATTGACATAATTCATTCTTTTCTATCTTCTCATTATTCGTCTCTATCCGAACAAAAATCTATTAACCTACCTAAATAAGATAAAACAGCTTTCATTCCAACCCTTTAGATGAAGCTTCTTTCTTCGTACAAATGCTCGAGGTGAAAGAGACCTTCTTTGCTCCCACCTCTTTTACTACAAGCATTTCTCAGAATTATATTTTAAGTTTTTAAAACTAAATCTAGCTGTCCTTGAAAAAAGAAAATAATAATAAATAATAAAAAGAAAAAGGACTTTAAAGTGCATTTCTTGGCAAAAGCAGGTAGCAAGTATAAACTTGCCCGTTGGTATAGAAAATATTTGAAAATTTACCAAACATAAAACCAATCTAACGGCTGAGATTATTCCGCACACACATCATCCACCGTTGACTCAGTCTCACTATTTTTTTTGAAACCATAAATCCTTATAGGGTTTTCGAATAACTTGTCCGCCCTCTTTAACATTTGAATTCCTAAAAGACCGTTTTTTTCCTCATTATTTTCTTCCAACAAAAACACACCCACTTCTCTCTTTCTCTCTCTAGAATTTCTCTCACTAAATTTCATCACTTCATTTCCAGATCTTCAAATTCGTTTCTGAATTTGTTTTGTTTTTTTTATCGTGTTTGGGATCGATCTGCAAATGTGTTTTGTTCTCATTATTCCATTGGTTTGGTTGAATATTTTGAAGTTGTGTTCGGTAAGTGCAGATTTTCGTATAATGGGTGATTTTTTTATTTTTTATTTTGGTTTTTGGGTTTGATTGAATTGAATTTGTCTTTTTTATGGTAGGATTTGTTAATTTACGATTTCTTGGTACTTGGGTAGTTGTGAAGTTTGAATTTTGTTGTTGTTAAAAGATGGTATCTTGAACCCTAATTTGATCAGATTCTTTTGTTTGATCATTTTATTAGTTTCTTTTTGTTTATCTTGCTTTGGGATTTCTGTTGATTTTGCTGATTTTGGTTGTGTATATTTTACCTAAATTTGTCTGTTTAATTCTTACTGAACCCTTTATCCAGTGATTGGTGGTATCAATGAAAACCTATGTTGGTCGGACGAGTCAAATCACTGTGATACCACCAATCACTGTGATTTTGGTTGTGTATAGTTTTCCTAAATTTGTCTGTTTAATTCTTACTAAACCCTCAATCCAGTGATTGGTGGTATCAATGGAAACCTATGTTGGTCGGACTCTTCAAAAATGCTGACGGGTGTGTGTTGGATCCTTCAAGAGTAGTGCATTTTTGGAGGATTCGACATGGGTGGGGGAACATTTTTGGAGAGTCTTGAGCTACATAGATGAAAACTGACTGTAGTTATTAAGGGTTCTTATTTCTTTAATATATCTCATGCTTTGTAGCACCATTACGTTGTGATTTGCTCTGACCTTATCCTCTCATTTTGTTGTAAGATCAGGTAGGAGAGCCCACATCTTAGGGTGGCATATAATGAATTGGGGAAGACATTCTGGAGAAAATTATCGACCTTTGGGTGTTGGGTTATGCAGATTTGTCTTTGTGTCAAACAACCATGGAAAGTGATAGAATCAGCACTCCTTCAGATGGCACTAGCAGTAGTTACCAAAGAGTTCGTCCTTTGCATGGGTAATTTTCAAAGCACTGGACTATTGCTTCTTTCGTGTCATATTTTAAGTGCCATTATGTGATTTTGTGCATTTTTGTTTATTGAATTTTTTCCATGCTGTGTTACAGAAACTCTTCAGTCTTTTAGTGTACAGGACATTAAAAGGCTATTAAGATGAAATTTGAGTTCAGATATAGTATTTTAGTGGACAGAACATTAAAAGGCTATTTAGATGAATTTTAAGTTCAAATGTAGTCTACTCTGGTAAATCTCACTCAAATAGTCTGTGGAATGTTGAACTACTCACTCATCTGGTGCTAATGTTAACAGGAGAACTAGCGGTCCTACGAGACGTTCCACAAAGGGGCAGTGGACTCCTGAAGAAGTAAGTGGGCACTTCCTCGGCCGAGAACAAGTCGAAATTTTATGCATTCAAGTTGCTAATTTTTTAAACATATTTTTGTTTCCTTTTTACTTGCACACAAACTTTTCTTTTTCTCTGTTGGGAGAGGGTGGAAATCCATTTCTAGAATGGGAACTTTTTCTCAGGTTGGAATGGTGGTACCTAATTAAAATTTCTTGTCTGTGTCTATGAGGTGTAGGTCCAAGTACAAGTAAAAAAGGGAGTGTAGCATCAAATTATGATGAATCCTCATAAATCAGAATATATTAGAGGATTCATATCGCTGCTTTCAACAAGTTTGGCATTGTGGTATAGTTGATTTGTCCATGCATTTAATAAAAAAGAATCCTACTCTGAGAGGCACTGGTTGATGACTACTAGCTGCTACATATTTTGAAACTTTAAATAGGTTTAGGGTATTCGTTTCATAGTCACAAAAATATCTAAATTTGTATGATTCCTCTTTCTGGGAATTGTTTCCTCAAAAAGTTAGCCTGGGAATATCCGTTGTTAATAAGTAACATAAATTAATCAATGTAGATAAGAAAATACTGATATGTATAGCGTGTGATAAAAAAAGATAGGCATCCTATAGTCTGTATAGTTACCATATTATGTAGGAGCTCAAAAGAGATTATCAACATTGTGTCTTTCAGTTTGTCCAAAGAACTAGTAAGTATAAACATACAAACTTGTGTTTATGTGTTGCAGCTACTTAGCTCTCAAAACATCTTTCATTCTTTTACTTGTACCACATAGGAAGCAGGCAGGCATAGTGATATATTTGGGGATAAGTGTTTTTGTCCACTTTCCTACCCATCAGCTGTATATAGCCTCCTTTACTTGTATAAATTTAGCAGAAGAATATCTGGTTCCCCCCCCCTTTTCTCCAAGAGGTATATAGCAAATTTCTCTGGATCAATACATATCAATGATACCCAATTTGAATCTGGTGATCTGCGTAATGGTCAAGGATTTAATTTGATGGATATGTCACTATGTAGGAAGAACATCAGAAGTGTTCTATGTGCAAGATGGCTATTGATTGGGCGTCTATTTAAAGTTTTATTTGCATCAGTTGTTGACTTCAATGTCCTTCTGCAATCCCTATGTTTTGATTTTCATTTTATACATTTTTACATGTGGTGGAGTTTCATCAATTTCAGTATACATTTCAACTTTTTTGTTTTATATTGCTAACCAAACATAAATCCTTTTTTCCTTTCAGGATGATACTCTATGCAAAGCTGTCCAACGTTTTAAGGGGAAAAACTGGAAAAAGATAGGTAAAAACACTGCCTCATCCTGTTATTTATTAACCTAATGTGCTTTACATTCGTGGAGCATACTGCTGATCTTTCACCTTTTACACAAGATGCTGTTGGCAATGTTATCTCACCACTTTAACAGGACTATCTCCACAGTTGGATTGATAAAATATGTTATTTCTAAGTAGATCACACTTGAGGAGACAGTAAAGCTAATCTGATGCTTATACAATAACTCGAGTTTTTTTTGGATGAAGTGATCAACTGGTCATTTTATGGACACATGAAGTAAAAGTTATTTGTCAGTTTCTGTAAAATGTCAGTTCCTGTGAACAGAACTGTTTCTCTAATCATCTTACACTCAAACTCTTTTGGTGACGTGTGCATTGGTGCTTCTATTTGTCTTGACCTACTATAATGTGCTAAGCCATAGTTTCAGGACAAAAGACCTCATCTACTTTTATGCTTAGAGTCAACATATACTTTGAACGAAAAAGTCAATTTAGTTCAAGAAACAAAGGTCCCAACTAGGGTAGCTGTTGAACGTGTTGGACACAGTTACTGGTTGTTGAAGATGGAATGAGTAAAAATAATGTAAAAGTCTCTGAAAAGTTGGCCCAAAAGCATCTTCTTATCTCAAATTTGGTCAAGCCTGCAGAAATCAACATTTCCTTTGGGTTGGAAGTTAATCAAAGCTCTAGAATAAGACCTAGAGGTCCTCCTAGGGAGACAGTTCTGTTTTAAGAATTAGGATATGGTGTGTTTATACTTGTCGAGTTCTTTGAGATTCACCGCAGAAATGTGCTCGAAGGAGCTTTTAAAGAGAATAGGGTGAAACTTCTCTTTTAATGAAAATTCTCAGTGTTTTCCATTTGACAGTAAGTACCCACTTTTTTGCGCATCTTAATAGCAGCACTAAGTCAGAAAGACAATTGTTCTGGATGAGCTAAACCTTGTCTGTTTGGAGCAACTCTAGCTTGGGATTCACCGGCTATTGTCTTCTGCATCAACTGTTCATTGCTCACTTGTTAGTCATATATTTGTGACACCACCATAAATCGTTTGCATTGGGTTAGAGATGTTCTAGTTAAATGAGTTTTCCTTCCCACTTCCCAGTGTGTTTAACCTTTCTCCACTATCATTTTCCTTAGAAATATTTGCTGGATTATGATTTTTGAGGCATCCGTCTTTCCCTGTTATGATATATATGCTGCCTTTGAATTGTTTTACCTACAACTGCATTTGAAGTTCTATGACACATGCAGTCATTATAGGAGAAATTATTTATATAATATCAGCTTATTGCTACTTCTGCATTTGGGAATGTACTGATTTGAGAAGTTTACTCTGTGCAGCGGAATGTTTTAAGGACCGGACTGATGTACAATGCTTGCACAGGTGGCAGAAGGTTCTTAATCCTGAACTTGTCAAAGGTCCATGGTCTAAAGAGGTAAATACATATGCTTGAATAATACATGGTTATGTGGAACACGCAGCATCCGTGTATTTTATATTGCTACTAACTATTTTACTTCTTGACTTCCAGGAGGATGAAGTCATAGGTGAATTAGTTAAGAAATATGGCCCCAAAAAGTGGTCCACCATTGCTCAACATTTGCCAGGACGTATTGGAAAACAATGTAGGGAAAGGTAAGCAAGTTGATTCTTTTGTTTTCCTAAATGGTATACATGTAATGTATTGCTTTTCTTTTTTTTTACTTAAATATGGTTTCAGTTTTCTCCAGATTTCTTTTGTGAATAAAGTTTCGAGAGCTTGTGAGTTTTCAACACTCTAATTTTTCTCATTCAGTTTAAATGAGAACTTTACACTCCAGATGAGCATTAATTTTCTTTTATACCTACTTAATTGCTGTTTTCCATCTAAACCCTTTTCACTAAGTGCTAAATGCTGTTCATCAACTAATGTTTGGACAAATCCCACTAAAATTTAAGATATGTATGTCAATGGAATCCTTGCCAGTGGAAGAATATAGAAGTTTTGTGGTGTCATTTGTGTTGAATTTTCTTTTATTTACCATAATTGAAATTAAGTGACAATTTCTCCAAGAATGAAACTCATATTTCCACTTTTATTTGTGAATATGTTACAGTAATTTTTAAGAGTGATCTTTTCAGGTGGCACAATCATCTAAATCCTGGAATAAACAAGGAAGCTTGGACTCAAGAGGAGGAGATGACTCTCGTTCATGCCCATCAAATTTATGGGAACAAGTGGGCGGAGTTGACGAAATTTTTACCCGGAAGGTACTTTGAAGCTGTCAGCCACTCTCTTTTATAGAACAAGAGTTCTTTTTGGTTTATTTTTCCTTTTGAGTTGTTACACTGAGAATTCCTTCACTATTTTATATGACATGTAAAGATTTTTCTATGATTTTTCAGGACAGATAATGCCATTAAAAATCACTGGAATAGTTCTGTCAAAAAGAAATTGGACACATTTTTGACATCAGCACCACTTGCTCAGTTCCCTGCTCTGCCTATTGTCAACCATCAGAATCAATCAATCCGTTCTTCGATAAAGTTGCAACAGAACAGTGAAGATGATAGTGTTCGTAAAGAAGGAACAGAAATGGAGGAAGTTTCAGAATGCAGTCAAGGTTCAAATCTTGCTGGCTGTTCCCAATCTACAAGTGATATGGGTAACACATTTGCACATACAAGAAAGGAGGGTAAATTGCTGGAGGATTCAAATTACAGGAAGGACCCAAGCGCCAGTTCAGCACCGTGTTCTGAATACTATACCCCAGCCTTTGAAGATATTACTTTTTCAATGGAAGAAGTGCCCAGTGAACTTGCCGAATCCGAGCATAACTTTTCACATGACTGGGCAACATCAATGGGAAAAGATTGGCAGTTTAATCCAGATGACATACCTAATGTTTCTCCTCTGGAGTTGATGCAGGATTCTTCAGGTCTCTTCATGCAGTGTCTAACTGGTACTGAGAATCATGACATGGTATCCTTTCCACAGCAAAATGGAATGAAGTTCGAAACGACTAATGATGGAAGCATGGTTGTCGGATTACATCAGCCGAATGAAATGTTTACTTCTGTGGAGGGTTTCAGGATGGTATACCCTGAGGCAGAAATTCCTCACTGCTTCCCTTCGGAAACTGGTATGAATGGTGAAGATGAAACTGCGGGTTCTTTGATTTATCAGATCTCTGAGGGTGGAAATATGTCCATAGAAAATTGCAATCCTCTCTGTTCAGATGTTATGGGAACTTCATCCTGTCAACCATGTTCTGTTCCTTCAGAGTTTTCTTCAGAGCAAAGCTCATTCATGTTTGGTATTGCCTCAAATCAGTTTCATAATCCTTTGCATCCAGCTCATGAGTCCCAGACAAGTAAATGTGATGGTTTTCCATATCCCATTGAATCTGATAGTCCTTGTGACAACATAATGGATGATCCTCTCCTGAAAGACCAACTGGATCAAACAAAAGATTCTGTACAGCTAGTTTCTGTGAATGATTTTGGCTCAACTTCTTCAAATACTATTCAAACATGTCCGATGGTAAATGGAAATTCAGCTGTAAAAGAAGAGAAGAAGGATGGGGGAGCCTTATGCTATGAGCCGCCTCGTTTTCCGAGCTTGGATGTTCCATTTTTCAGTTGTGATCTTATACAATCTGGTACAGATACACAGCAAGAGTTCAGTCCTCTTGGCATACGTCAGTTGATGATGACTTCTGTGAACTGTCTTACTCCATTTAGGCTGTGGGATTCACCAAAAAGAGATGGTAGTCCAGATGCCGTCTTGAGAAGTGCTGCCAAAACTTTCACAAGTACACCTTCGATATTAAAGAAGCGACACCGTGATTTGGTGTCACCTTTGTCAGAAAAGAGATGTGGAAAGAAGCTTGAAAGTGATCTCCGTCGAGAATCATTTTCTAATCTGGCTAAGGATTTTTCTCGACTAGATGTTATGCTTGACGACTCTGCAAATGAAAAAGCAATGTCTTCCCTAACTAAGGATCAAACTGTGGAACTTCAAGCTTCATCTGAAGATAAAGAAAACATAAATCCAACTGAAGATGGACGAAAGGAGGAGGGCAAGGGATGCAATGGACATTCGAGCTGTGGAACTTCTGGGAGACAGTTAGATGGAGGTGAAGTCCACTATAAAGTTCAAGGAACAAGGGAGGGCAAAAGGATTGGAGCCAATGATGCAATTGGAAAGGTGAATCAAGTCATTTTGTTTCCTTTTGGCACCACTTTGTGTTTTCTGAGAGTGGTGGTGGTATCAATATTAGCATTATCATTTAATACTCCCTCCGTCCCATTTTATGTGAGGTAGTTTGACTCGACACAGAGTTTAAGAAAGAAATGAAGACTTTTAAAACTTGTGGTCCAAAATGAATGATAGAAATTTGTGTGGCTATAAATCATTTCATTAAGGGTAAAATAGACATTTTAAAGTTAAATTGCTACTTAATATAAAAATGTGTCATTCTTCTTGGAACTGACTGAAAAAGAAAGTAAGTCACGGGATAGAGGGAATATTAAATATGTGGACTAAAATTCAATGAAAAATTTTCACAATCAAAAAACTAGAGCTCGATGTTACGAAATTCCTTCCTTTCCATACAAGATCTTTACTATCTGTATTTCCTTTGTTCCATTTTTTTCTAATGTGCTGGTGCTCTACAGTCTTCTACTCTTGTTGCATGATACTGTAACATCTTTTATAGTCAATCTAATTTTGGGTTGATGTTTAAAATTCTTGCACAGTTTAATGTGGTTATGACAACTGCCTATGCTGATTTACATATGCTTGCAAGACCCATTCAACTTATTCGACAGAGAATTCTTTAATTGGAAATAACTTTTATGCTTTTCTTGTTTCAGATAAAACAGCCTTCTGGAGTTCTAGTTGAACTGAATGCAAGTGATCTGTTCTTTTCTCCTGATCGTTTTGGAGCCAACTCTGACAGAGCTACAAATCTAAGCAATAAAGCTCTAGGAAATCAGTATGCTAGACGGCTCGAAGCTGCATCAAACCAAGGTTCTGTTTCATCTTCATTTGAGACTTCATGTTTCTCTGTTATTTGCTCTCCTCGTATACGTGGAAAGAAGGATGGAAGTAGTTTTGTTATCACTACATCGATGCAATCTGCTCCCACATCAACTGGCTTGGTGAACTCAGCTGAGACTTCAGGAAATGGAGTTGGAGCTGAGACTGTAAGCATGTAAGATAGTTGCTGTTCTTTTTATATTTTTTTTTTTTTTTTTTTCCAATACCCCTTTCCACAGCATTTCTGTCCTGCAAAATTAACGGCCCATTGACCCTGTTTCTCCGCAGATCTGGAGAAACACCTTATAAAAGGAGTATTGAATCTCCTTCAGCTTGGAAATCTCCATGGATCTTCACCCCTTTCCTGTCAAGCCCGAGACTTGATAATGAACTTACTTTTGAGGTAAATAGGATTTTGGAGATTACATTATGCATTCTAGGATGAGACTAATATCTTTATGTTTGCTCTTTTATTCTGTTCAAATTCCGGGCTCTTATTTATGTACTTTGAAACTTCGTAGGATCTTGCCCTGTTTATGAGCCCAGGTGACAGAAGCTATGATGCTATTGGATTGATGAAGCAATTGAGTGAGCAGACTGCAGGAGCATTTGCAGATGCCCAGGAGGTCTTGGGAGGTGATACTCCAGAGTCGATTCTACGGGGGAGGAACTCCAAAAACCAGAAAGCAGATGAAAATCCTTCTCTTTTGTCAGCAAATGCTATGGTATGTCCAATCCCCAATGTCAAGATGATTGCAAAACAATCTTGTCCCCAGTTATGATATATTTTTAATATCCTATGCTAATTTATATATGTGTTTTCACATGTCATCACTATGCAGTTCCATTTATGTGCTTTCAGATATACTAACTATGCAGTTTTTCAGAAATTCTAACATCTTTGCCTCTCAATCTTTTTATATTCCCATGGGAAATGAACTTGAGAGGAAAATACTCTTCCTTTTTAGTTTGTTCCGAAAAGAATGACACCTATTCTGTAATCTTCTTAACTTTAAACTTCCCATTTTATTCTTAACGACATTCATATCCCTAAGAATGTCATATTATTATTATGACCACAAGTGCTAAGGAAATGTTAGGCATGTGCCAAAAGTCAGTGTTTTTTTTCTCAAATTCTGTTTCTAGTCACACATCAACATGAAAAATTAGGAATCTGCTCATCGGTTAATTTACTAGTCATGAGAGTTAATTGTAGACTGAAATTCTTAACTTTTCTATTATCTGTTTATTTGCAGAGTGAGAGGCGTACGCTCGACTTCAGTGAATGTGGATCACCTGGAAAGGGAAAAGAAACTGAAAAATGTTGCTCAAGCAACAACAGCTTTTCAAGTCCTTCTTCCTACCTCTTGAAAGGCTGCAGGTAGCAGCAGCAAGTCCTTTCAGGATGGGTGGAAATTCTTGCTGTAACATATATAAGATTTGATATACTTGTGTGTATTTATTTATTTATTATTTTTGCCTTATACAAATACTTGTCCAATTGTTTGTCAAAAGATATGGATTAGATATTATCATTTCATTAAACATTATTCTGCTTAATCCCATTTGCTAAATAAGAAGTCTATTTTTGTACAAAACCCCCTCTTGAAACTTTTATTTTGCAGGAAGCAATGATACTGCAGCTAGGGGATTGTGTAGCAATAGACTGAAATTGCTTGTACTGACATGTTCCATTTTAGTAACAAGTTTTAAAAATATATGATTTGGATCATATGGTTGTGTTACATGCCACTATGGTTGACCTTCCTTGAACTCACCACGGAGTTTTTAACTTAGTTACTTAGGTTCTGGAATTCCATCTCTAGTTGGGTTTTTCATTGAAAAAATGTGGTGTGGGTTCATATAGGCTCCACTTTGTATTAAGCAACCCTTTGCACTGAAACTTGTCCTTTTGCACATAACGTCTAATTATTCTTGATAAATCAAGGGGCAGATGAATAGCAAAATATGCCGCAACACTGTAGAAGCAGCACAAATCTATTTGTTATTAGTAAAACTATCTTATGATTTCTTAAAGGACGTGTAAAAAGGTAAAAGTAGTAGTCAAATACCCTTCGTGGTGGCCCAATGGTTTGGTTTGGTTTGGGACTTTAATGTTGGAGGCTTAAGTTCGAGACCCTTTACCAGCACAAGCAGATGGAGTAATTAGATAAAATCTCTGATTTTGTGCGAAATATACTTGTGGTCTTTTTCACTGATTTTTGTTACTGCAAGTATTGCAAAGGTAGAGCTCAACAAAGCTAAAAGAAAAAACAATCCTTTTTTATGTATAACTACTTTTGGTTCATATGTTTTCCTGTGTTGTTTTTATTTTACTACTTAAGTTTTTAAATTAGTCTTAATAAATTTTTAACCAGCTACTTATTTTCAGTAATTATGTAATAAAAAATAGTATGATTTTGTAGGGAGATACCTTGCTAAGTTAATTTTAAGAAATGATTTTGTTACTGCGAGTATTATAACTGTAGAACTCAACAAAGTTTAAAAATAATTGCATTTCACTTCATTTGCCGTATCAATTCTTTTGTTTTCCATTATGTTATTTTCCAACAATTCTTCACTTTTAAAAAAATCAACAATTGATACTAATTTTATATTAAATGGTAAAAGTTATTAATTCTGGACAGTGAATTGAGGTCTTGCTCTTAAGGCTTTAGATCTTTGGAAACAGTAGAATAGACATAAGAGTCATGACTATAATGACCTCAAGGGAGTCGTTTGATATGGAGGATGAGATACATAGAGTTATCCCATGAATCGAGATATCCCATCGGATTAGTTATCATCCATAGGTCAGCTTCACTGCATAGATATTCAATGTTCCACCTTCACTTCATAGCACGAAATCGAAAAATGTAATAAAAACCCCAACTGAGATGGCACTCAACAATTAACAGTAATTTCCCTAAGAACCAACACCCATTACTAGAATTTTCAATCAAAGATTCCAGTGCTGAAGCACTCTCATAAGATGATAAAGAAATGAGATTTGTCTTTATTAAGATATATATTATTATGAATTGCTAGTAACAATTGAAGGTATGCCACTATTTAGCAATTAAGACTAAAGAGGCAACTAAAATAGGTTTTGCTACATTAAGCAAAATCTGTTTATTCTACTCATTACAGATACAGGCCTCCAACTTAGGAGGAAACTAGTTATTACAAGGAGGGGGAATTGCAATCGAGTTTTAACTTGAGCAGGAAATACTCAGCCAACTAAAACGATAGCAGCTAACAACCTTGCAGAGAAAACAGAAGTAGCCAGTAATGAACTCAACGAGCCCGAGTCACAGCAGCATGGATGGCATCTGTCAGGTGTGGAATTGTCCTGGAGCTTAGACCCGCCATGCTAATGCGTCTGCAAAAATAAACATGTGATCCATGTCAAAGGCGTATCTGATAGTCAAGCTTCATAGAGGGGTTACCACAATTATATACAAACTAGTAAGAATCACGCTCTAGAAATGTTCATTAATACCATCATATTTTTCTTAGTGTTCCTGAAAGCAAAGGTAGAAAGTAACTACAAAAAGAACTAAGTGATATGACTGATGAGATTTTAACATGTTCTTCCCTACCCTCCCTTCCCACTTTCTGTTTTACCTTCCTTCCAAGGTAGTCACTGTCACTTTACTAGCTAATAAAATCACATTTCAGTTGATGGGGAGACATAATATTGTCTAATATGACACAAATAGAACGTTGTGACGTAGAAATAACATATTACCCATCTGATGTCATGTAGATGTGGTATTCTTTGGTCATGAAGGCAACTTGTTCTTTGTTAAGTCCTGTGAAAGTGAACATTCCAATCTGCTTGATAATGTGACTCCAGTCACCAGGGGTACCTGCAAATCAAATTGACATGAATATAAATAGATATACTGTTTTTTTTTAGAATGGAAGAAGTAGATATACAGTTCATGCACTGTTTGACATTTAAATGGATTAAAGAGTGCTTGGCCGGAACTAAGGAATTGACTACGTATATAGACATCATGATTCTAACACCTGATGTGCCGACAGAGAGTTGCAATGTTATCTTTTTTAATATAATGCGGATGGCGTTCAAATCAGAAACCTTGAGAGGAATATAGAAAGAATGAGATCTATCAAAAGACGACTTGATCAATAGTTTTACGTCACCAAAGGCACCACATAAAGATGCACTATGGGGTGGTTTTCTAAGGGTAGAAAATCCATAATTATGGGGTATTAGTTCCATTAGAACGAGCAATATTTGATGCAAAGAGAATACATAAGGACTTGATGAGAGCACTAAGGAAGATCGAGATGTGTTATGTTTTGGAGAAATGATTGAAATTGTCTAATTCCAGGTTTTGTTTGCTTTTACTTTTTCCTGGTTAACTTTTATTCAGGAGAATCAGCTTAGTACGAGTTGGTCTTTTTCATCAATTATGTCGGGCAAATGAGCTGGACATATTGCAGCAGATTCTATAGGCAGCAGTGTACGACGTTCATATGTAGTTTTCATATATAAGGACACCTAACATGAATGATCAAAATGAATAAAAAGAGCAGAGGCTGATGCAATACATATGGAAAACATGCATACGTGACTGCTGTCAATGCTACCTTTAGCGCGTAAAGCATCAAATAATTGCTGGCGCATTCTGATGATTCGATCAGCCATCGCTTTCAACTCAAGAGTCCATTCATGGTACAAGTTTCTGCAGGAAATTAGTGATTTATTTTGCAGAACAATGACTAAACCTAATTACTGAACATAAACTGGATTATTATATCATACAGAAACTAGGAAATGCCTTTCTAGTGTCCGAGAACCAATGTTCCTGATGGCTGATATATTACCTGTCTTTGAGGATTGTAGCAACTATTGACGCACCGTGAATTGGTGGACTGGAATACATTGGCCTAATCACCAACTTCAACTGGCTCTCAACTCTGCTAGCTACATCAGCATTTCTGCACACCTGCAGATTTGAGAAAATTCAAAAATATGCAACTGTCAGCAGAGTGTAACTGTGATAAACTACAATACATGATATTACGTGAACTGCCTCCCATAACAGATTAACAGGTTTTCCCTTCATTCTTTTGAAGATGGAACCGGATACACTACAAACTTTTGATATCTCTTAATGGCGAAATTTTTTAGGTTATGTTCTAGGCTGTCAAGTTCATATATTTTGAAGTAAGCTACAAGGGTTAAGCAGTTCAGCAGTTCATAACTACAACTCTAATGTGCCTCCACAGTTCAGCACCAGGAGAAAGGCCAATATAGAAAACAATAAGAAGTATAATTAGAATCAAACATGATTCGAGAAAAAGGAAGACAACACAACCAAAGAACAAATGGACATTCAAATGTTTCAGAATGAGGCACAGGTTATCATTTTAGACGTACTATGCTTAAAGCTCCGACACGTTCACCATAAAGCCCCATATTCTTTGCATAACTTTGAGCAACAAGTACTTCACCTCCATCTGCCACAAACATGCGAACAGACTGTGCATCTATATCTAGGCTTCCACTAGCAAACCCCTATAATATAAAAGTTAGATTATCAAGATTAATCAACATACATCAAACAAAATGTCTCATCTGAAAATGCTCATATAGAAAAAGCCAAAAAGCTCTAGCTTCAGTTTGTTGATGATTTTTCTTACCTGATATGCACTATCAAAGAAGGGTAGCAATCCTTTTGATCTCATCAATATCCTAATTTGCTCCCACTGATCTTTGGTTGGATCCACACCAGTGGGGTTATGTGCACAAGCGTGAAGTAACACTATCGCTCCTGACGGAGCAGATCCAAGGTCTTCCAACAAACCTGTCATGTACGGAAGGAAAACTTCATAAATAAGTCAACGTCACACAGACACAAGAACACAATATTAAAGTTGGTCCCTTAGGTTTGAACATACTGATTACAAAACATTAAAGTTTAGATGTGTCTTATATTCCACTATCATCAAGTAATACATCTATTTTCCTCCACTCACTTATTTTCTCACATAGCATTAGAGCCTCTATGATCATGTAGATGCCCAAGGCCTAGCTCAAGTGGCAAGAGGACTTGTGGCTTAGGTCACAGGTTCAAGCCCCACACCATGCAAAGCGAAGCCCGGTATTTAAGTGGAGATGGGTAGAGGGGAGGGCCCATTATCCACCAAGTTTAGAAGGCTGTGATTGGTCCAAAGGGCGGGTTCACAGACGGATTTCTCGGTTATCAAAAAAAAATAAAAAAATAGTCTCCCAACCAGAAGTCATTTTTTTCACAGTTCTACTATTGCCTTGTCCAATGCCCATTCCGAGGACACCACTTCTCTTTACTGTGACTACAGTCGCAACATCAAGCCTCTTTCCTGTGACTGTTTCAATAACCTGTGCCTCTTTTCTATGCAGCACCACGCTTCATTTCAATAATTTTTATGGTAACACAGCCTCTTTTAGATAGATTCCTGGCCTCTATCCTCTGGCCTTTCAGTAGCACCGCCTTGTTTTGACCAGCTTTATTTTTGTTCTTCCTCCTATGTTCTGACCATTACGA